TCTTCTCTTGTAATTTTTTTGTTTATTTGTAATTAATATTTAATTTAATAATTTGTAATGATTAGAAAAAAAATAAAAATAAAAATGATTTTAAAGAGAATTGGGATATTTTTTTTGTGGACGACGTGGAATCCGGCGTGGTCAAAGAAAATTCGAATTGTTAACAAGCGGTGTATTTATAAGAAAATTCACATTTTATTATACTTCCTTGTTTTACTTTAAGAAACTAATCGAAACCTTTTGAATTGATCCGTTTATAATTGTTAAACAAGTGAACTTTGTTTACCTAATTGAATTGGAAGAGTTTTTGTTTCAAAGACAATGTATTCATTCTCCACGAATTTCCTTATTTAGGAATTGTTCATATTACCGGTTTTAGACATTTGTTGTGACAGTTCCCTGCAGAGTTCCCGCTCGCAGGTGGTGGTTGGTTACACCGTAAAATGATGATCCTTGACGCCTATTTCTATTCTGTTTTTCTCATGAAGCATTATTATTTCTAAATAATAGTTAACCAAAAGAAAAATTCTTATCTAATAAAAAAAGTAATATACGCCAAGCAAAACAAAACTAATGATAAATTTTATTATAAATTTGATTATTTACGGCTAATTAAAGTTAAATTTTATTTTTATCATAAGTTTAGGCTATCTTTCGGTAAAAACAAAACTAGTTATTTAATATTTAAGGCAATATCTAAGCCATTATAAAAAGCTAAGCTATAAATATTGTCTATGAAAATGTTTTTTACTCATACTAACTTCAAATTTACTTTCACATGATAAATCAATTTAGGAAATAATGGAATTTTGATTTCCTATATAGTAGTATAAAAATCTTTACCCTTCACATTTTTTAAAGGAAAAAATAAAAGAAAATCATCATGGAAAACAAATTAGTCACATTTCATGTCCATCTACCGGTTGATATTGAAAAGCTTGGGCAACCAGTTGTTATCGGCAATGGAAAAGGATTAGGAGAATGGAAATATCCTATCGCAAAACTTTTTCGTCCATTTCCTAATAATAATCCTACCTATTGGCAATCTAAACCAATCGTTATATCAAACGTATCTCCTACTTTACGATTAAGTTATAATTACGCTATACATGTTCCATCTTCAATTTTTCACTTGGAAGATGAAAAAATCTTGTTCGAAAGCTCTGAAAAGCGTTCGTTAGATGGAACGAATCAATTTGATATCTGGATTAATGGGAATGAATTTTTAAAAAAATTTCAATTTAAATATATTACTGATTATGCTTTCGTAGATTGCATTTATAAACGCATCACACCTGATAATCTAAGTGAGAGCGTTGCGGATTATCTAAAAATATTAAAACATCACGAGGATCTTACGATTGGGTTTTCAAATTACGATTATATAGTCAAAAATATCAATGATATCTCATCGAGGGAACAACGACGTTTCTTATGTCTCTTGTTGGGATTTTACATTTCGAGAGAACGCGTTACATATAAATTACCAAAAGATTTCAAATCTGATGTTTTTATTGATGCTTTCGTAGACTACAAGAAAGATATCTTATGTTCCGATGATATCGTGACCTTTGTAATTATGGTCACCTCGTATTTGATTCAACACAATGCTCTTCAGTCAAAATTAGATTGGATCGAGATTTTTACGATCGTCAATGAAATCGATCCGGAACTTTCATTTTTGGAGAATTTACAAGATGTTAAATATAGCGATTCGGATTTGTGCAAACTTTCTGAAAGGATTAAACCTTATATTAGCAATGTTAAACCTGAAAATGCGATGAAATTGACTCGGTGGTTGGTACGTCAATGTGAGAACATCAAACCTCTTTTTGAGGTTTGGAATATTTTCCCCGTTAGAAATAAGCAAATCTCTCAATACTTTGTTTATCAAGTTCAGAGTATCATTTCTAATAATCACTCGAACGACCTGTTAATTAACTTTTCGAAAATTCCGTGTGATTTTCAAGACCGCGTTTCTTATACTTTCCGGAAACGAGCTTTACTTTTACTTAAAAACCCTGACGAATGTTGGACAATTTCAAATGTCTTCGCCCTGAGAAAACTTTTCTTGCAGGATAATCTAAACTGGAATTACAATGACGTCATTTATTCCCTGGAATTGATTTCTCTTACTCATAGTTTGGAATTGTCAAGTAATTTTCCCGAGATTTTGAATGACTTGCTCACCATCAAAGATTTTTCCGACGTTGAAATGAAAAAGATATCGACTATTTGTAAAGACTGGTTCAAATTTCTTTTATCCATTAAAAATACCAGTTTGTCAGATGAAAATAAATATGTCTTTACGGTATTTCAACAATTAGATCACATGTATCCTTTGTTTAAACAACTGATCAATATTTGGAGGGATTTATCAACAATTGCCTTAGACAAGGTGAAAGGTTACTCGGAATCTTGTATCTTGGGTGCGACAACTTCTATAATTGAGATAGAAGAACGAGAGGTCAAAAGATTATTTACCCAAATCATCAAAGAGATATTGAACAAAGAGGTTCAACAGGCTGATGACCGATTAATGAAAAAGATATTTTTAATCTGTGACTGTAAAGGCAAATCGCTCAAGGTGCCGAACGCGTAAGTTTTAAACTGAAATATATATATATATATATATTTTTTGATGATTTGCTTCTTGACAAAATCTTTTAAATTTTAGGTTGTGCGAGGATGTCTTATGTCATATTATGTTTATGCTACGAAACCAATTGCCCATATCTAGTCCTTCAGAACGGCATTTGTCTATTTTAAAATCGAGTCAATTTTGGGTCACCATATTGAGCGCCACCGGAAGCGTTTCGAACCTTCGTTCAAACTCATATGTTCAAAGTGTTCAAATGTCTATCGTCGAACTTGACAGGATGCTTCTAGAGAAAACGATAGACATGCAATTATTACAACAAATTTTGGAATACTCTGACGACATATTATCACAGCATTTTAAAGTTGTCACAAAAGGTGATCGGGAGATTACAACATTTAAACCATTCCGAAAGTTATATCATGATTATAAAAATCGAATCGATCAACTATCCGAGTTTTATAAGGATTTTTGTTCGGTTCCTCAAGTGGCCGACGCAAATGATTTCATTCAAGGTATCCAAAAACTTATGCAAAATTCGAAGAAGGTCACGTTGAAACAGGTGTCAGGATCAGATTATTGGACCTTTCATGAGAAAGCATTAGGTAGCGCAGCACATTGCTACGGATTTAAACGATCTCAAACCTTTCGAAATATCTATGAAGTTTGTCTTCAGGAAAATTCTACCGTAACAAATGTAGAGGATATGGCACAAAAATTTATGCCATCCGTCTTTAAAAAGTATGATGCCATGTGTAAAAAATTTGAAACTTGGGAAGTGGTTAGTTGCTCGGAAGCATTATTAACTTGGAAGAATATCAAAAATATTCATGATGAATTTGATTTAACCGAGCTCAATCCTTACAGAAATTCATCACTTCTACATTCTCTTGAAATCCTAGTGAACCTTCCTCAATGGACAGAAAGAATTGAGCAATTGATAAAAGTTTTCCAAATTTTCTCGCTACAACTTCAATCAAATGATATTATAAAATATGATTCTTTGGTACTCGGTCAATTAAATCAATTTGTTGAAGACCTTGAAGGCAAACGTTATCATAAGATTGACCAAAACTGTTGGAATTTGATAAAAGAACTATCAATTTCCGAGGATTTTTTGAGTTTCTTAAAAGAAATTCCTGACCAAGATATTAAAAAATTGATTAATGGTTATTCGGATGAGATGTTAATTCAAGAGGATACAGTGTTGTCTCTTGTTCATGTTAAACGATATATAATTCCGCTTATGAATGATCTTAATGCCACCGTTGACAAATTTTTGGACGAATTACAACTAATTGTTCAGAAGAATTCTACGTTAGCATGCAAACTTGCATGGTGTAATGCTAACAATGAGATATTACGAGAGATATACTCTAACATTTTGAATCATGAGCAAATTACGATAGAAAAAATCAAGAGCGTCTCTCTCTATGGAACTTACAGCTTTTCTTTTGACGAGAAAAATGACAAGTGTTTGGTTACATTGAATAATTCCTCGTCGACTAAAGATATAAATGAGATTCGGAACTTGTGTGACAAAGCTCGTTTATTAACAAAATCAGATACCTTTGATATAAACAGCTTGTTTGAATTTTCTAATTTTGTTAATATCATTAATTTAGTTACCTCATTAATGCAAAGAGGGCATCTTAACTATCGAAAATTCGAAAAGAACATAGAAGGGATTGAGACTGCGAAAGAATTTCTTACAGTGTTATATAATGATTTAGGAAAATGGTGAGTATCCGATCGATTATCATTTTTTATTCTTTACGCATTTTACCCTTCGGAGTAATGAACCATCATTGATGTTAAATAGGGAAGACACAGTGACTCAGGCTCGAAAACGATGCTATTATTTGACATTCTTTACTGGTTATCAGATTTTATCATTTTACGATTATTTCACATCAGATAAATTAGACGAGAAGAACGCAGAAATGTGCAAAACGTTGATTAGATTTGTAAATAGTAATGCACAATTACCGTCTCATGGGAATGTAAAAATATCATGTGAATCTAAAGATCCTCTTGAGATACTTTGTGAAATTGGTAATGAACTAGATATTATTTTTAGAAATGTTTCAAAATCAACACGCAAGCTCGAAGTCATTCAACAAGAAGAGATTTCGTACGATAAATCATTTGTTGTAAACTGTAAGGACAGATTATTAATTCCAAATGCAATAATGTCACTGTTTTCTAAGAATGGATATTATCCCGAACCATGGCAAATCTTGTTATGTACTTCCTCGACTACAGAGGAAGAGCTTAAAATGTTCATTAACAGAAGCTTTTTTGCCGTGGATAATGGATACAGTAATCACCTATTCTGTATAGCCAATTTAGAATCATTAACTTTTGAATTTCAATATAATCTTGTAAATTATATAAAAGAAATGCAATTGGAAGAGACAAATGAAAAATTTTCATTAGCACTCCTATGTTGTCAGGAATCAGAAATGCCTAATCATATTTTAGATCAATATTCTTTAAGAGTTCAAGAGATTGATATGTTGTCTGTCGAAACCATGCAAGAAATTTATCAAGAATTTTGTCCAAATATATTATGTATTTCTTCAGATTTATCTGGTCAAGGAAAGACCGAATGGATCAAGGAAGATAGCTTTTCTAAACAAAAGCTTCCGCACAGTTTCTTTATTAATGATGATATGAATCTTAGGTGTCTCGTAAATAAGCTTGAAGAATGCAAACTCAAGCGTATCGAGAGTCTACATATTAACATATTATCTGTTGATCACCCTGAAGATGTGAATCTATTTTTGTTTGAATTATTGACATTTAGAATGGTTTCGTATCATAAAGTGATAGTTTCGATTCCCGAAACCTTCATTTATATCGAAATTTCATCGATAAAGCAGCAACTGATTAATTGTCTTCCTATGTTAAGATTTTTACCGTTTGAGCATTTATCTTGGAACATTGAAAAATTTAAAGTATCGCAAGAGACAACAAGCCTGATTCAATTTGCATGTCACTATTTGAGTTTATATGATGGAGAGGTTGATGTAAAGGAAGTCTCCTATAATCCATTAAAAGCCGTATCGCATCCTTTATCTACCGAGCTTTGTCAAAAGCTTATCATGAAATATTTTTTGAACACAAATGACAAAAACGTATTATCATTTAGATATTTAGAAATCTTCGTTAATGTTCTAGCTGATCAATTAATTAGACTGTCTTCATGTCAATATTTTATGCTCGACAATCTTAGATTAACGACAAAAGACGATAATATCAGGTCAACAATACTAAAATCATTAATACAAGTTTCAAAAGATTTTGCAATTAAATCCATCAAGATGAAGATGACGCAATTAGAACCTATAACGGCTGAAGATGAGTCTTCGTATCGTGATAGGATCGATCAATGGGATGATTTAAATTATCTTATAACATTTCCCAATTATCAAATTTCGGATTTCTGTTCGGTATTATATCACGATAAGACTAAAGTTCCCGATAATATTAAATTATTATTGAAGGGTCAAGCAATTGGTGATCCAAAAAGTTGGAAATTAGATGATTATAATAAAATGTCTGCAAGTTCACTCTTGATGAAACTGGAAGGAATGGCTCGTATTTCAACGCAAAAATTAAATCTGCCAGAATATATCTTGTCTAGTGATAATCTGATAAAGATGGCGCTGATTCTTTTAAGAGTACGTGTGAACATTCCGATAGTAATTTGTGGTGAAGCGGGATGCGGAAAGGTAAATTTATATAAATATAAATATATATATATATATTTTTAAATCTTTCAATAATTCATTGACATAAAAAATTTTTTTCATCTTTGATTTTAGACGAGTTTAATTACGTATTTAGCAAAATTGACCGAAGTTCAATTTCAAGCACTTAACCTTCATGCTGGAATTGATGAAGAAACTATTACAAGATTTATGTCGGACGCTTTGAGTAAGGCAGAAGAAGGCGAAGTTTGGATATTATTTGATGAAATCAACACATGCAGCTGCTTGGGTTTACTTGCAGATTTGATATCTAGCAGAATGTTTCAAGGTAGACCTATACATCCAAACATTCGTTTATTCTCTACCTGCAATCCATACCGTCTTCGTGCAAGAACAACGGATAAAAGTTATGAAGAACAAAGTAACCTTGTTTATCAGGTTAAACCACTTCCTGATCAAATTCTGGACTACGCATGGGATTATAGTATTCTAAACCCAAGAGATGAGTACGAGTATATTCAAATTATGGTTGACAAAGAATTAAAAAACTCGAACGATTCAATATTTTCCGAGCTCATATACGCTTCCCAGACATTCATTCGTAAAGTTAAGGAACCAAACAGCGTTAGTTTGCGTGATGTCAAGCGAGTTATAAAGTTGGCAAACTTCTTTTATGATTCCCTTGTGAACCGTTCGGATGTTATAAGTAGATTTCCGCCTGGAAGTCCAACCATAAAAACTAGATCTTATGTTTTAGCGCTTGGCCTTTGTTATCATTCTCGATTATATGAACAAGAATTACGCAAAAATTATTGTCACGAAATGGGGAAAATCTTTCAAACTCATGATATTAAAGTAGGGGAGGAAGTATTTATTAAAATTATTCGTGAAGAAAAGGAAGATTACTTTAGCAGGATGCGATGCCCTCCTAATGTAGCAAAGGTTGAAGCTTTATTAGAAAATATTTTGGTTTTAATCGTTTGTATTTTGACTAAAATTCCTGTATTTGTTATCGGAGAAACGGGGTATGTACTAGATAGAATAACTAGTTGGTTTGGTAAATTAACTGACGTTACTAAAATTTATCGGTATTATTTTCTTTAAAGGTTATCTAAATCTTTAGCTGTTCGTCTTATAAGTTCAAATTTACGCGGGCCCGAATCAAGTGATGATTACTTTAAGACTTTACCAAAGGTATGTGCGAAAAGATATTGATAATTAAATTTTCATTTTAATAAAATCAATGTTTATTTAACATTAGGTTCACATGGTTTCATACCTATGTTCTTCGAGTTCGACTTCTGACGGAATTAATAATGTTTTCGAAAAAGCTAATAAATATCAAGAAACAAGCTCGGATCAATTTCCCATCATTAGTGTAGTTTTACTTAATAATGGTATATATTGAAATTATATTCTTTTCAGATTAAAATTCAATATCATATATATATACTTATCGTGTTTATTTTGTTAGTTGGATATGCTGAAATAAATCGCTCGAATCCACTAAAAGTGCTTCATTCGATGCTCGAGACGGAGAATGAGCCAAATGTTTCATTCATTGGAATGTCCAATTGGCGCTTGGATATCAGTAAAAGCAGTCGAGCGTTACTAGTACAACTGTAAAATCGAAAGCTAATTTTTCCAATTTGCGTAAAAAAAAAAAAATTCATTATTTACTTTATTAATTATTTTTGATGTCATATATTTAGACCTCGATTCGACTTTGATGATTTGGTTGATGCAACCAGCTACCTATTGGGTACCAAGGTTATTGAACCTAATCAAATGAGCGTTATAGAAACTTTGGCCAAAGCATATTCGGATTATGAACGAAATGGTCAAGCTTTGCCTAACTTCCATGGCATTCGAGATTATTATGCATTACTTAAAGTATCCGGTTTGTCACCCGAAAAATTTCAAGTGGCATTAGCTCGTAATTTTGGGGGAACAGAAAATAGTCCCGAATTATATGAAAAGTATTTCGGAGATGTCCTTAGATTACTTCAAAATCCATGGTCATATAAACCGATACCGATAACACAGCTTATCGAATCAAACTTGGATGATCCTAGTGCGCGACATTTAATGGTCATTGGTAAAAACGAGTCAATTATAAGTTTATTGATTGATCAATATAGTCATTTGAACCCTGTTGTGATTATTGGATCACAATTTCCTGATGATCGTGACGATTATTCTTATCAGGTTTTAAGCAGAATTATGGTAAGTAGTTTCTTTTTTTTTGTTAAGTACTAGGAAACGGGGACCGTTGTCAAGTCCGGAACTTTATCCAGACTTTTGTGCAATTGCAAGAGTCAATCAGCATTGACTCAATTATTGAGCGGTCGGACACGGGACATTTTTTCGTCGTATATAGTCCTACACTTCGTTCCGGACTAATAAGTATTTTTATAAATTTATATTCCTTTTACCTTTTTAGGTATGTGTAGAAACAGGCAGACCATTGATTCTTACAGATTTGGATAATATTTATGGTAATTTAAAAAAAAAAAATTTTTTTTTTCATATTTTAACCGAGAAAATTTATAAATTGTACCTTAAATTAATTATTTTTTTTTCATAGCAAGTCTTTATGATTTATGGAATCAGGATTATATTGTGATCGGCAGCGAAAACGCCGAACAATTGACGAATGTTGCACTTGGAACCTGTGCCAATCCTATTCTGTAAGTTATTTTTTTTTTTTTTTTTTTGAGGGGAAGTGAATTATTTACTATGAATGATTAATTATTGGGTTTATGATTGCAGTCACGTTTCGTCAAAATTCAAGTGTATTCTAGTCATGGATGAGAAGAAATTGACTTCAGCTAATCCATCACTTCTCAATCGATTTGAAAAACAAAGATTAACTATTGGTGATGTTCTTAATGAAAGACAACAATCACTAGTTCGGCAATTAAAAAGTTGGACAAGACGACTGTCCACTTTAAAAGACGATTCTTCAGTTCGATTACATGATCAAAGGGATCTTTTCATTAGCTTTGATGACGATGAAACTTTACACAGTTTAGTTTTAGATCTTACAAAAAATTGTCCCGATGCTGATGATAAAACGATTTTAAAAAAATGCAAAGAACGTTTAACGGCGGTGGTAACATCGGATGGAATTGTAAGAGCCGAACAATCAGCTTTGGATCGTGAAGAAATCAGCATGTTGAAGTATTCCTATTTTCAACAACAGCATTATGATTCGCTCTTTGATTATTTCGAACCGTTATTAGATCAACCAAACACCTTAAACGATTTACGTTTAGTAATTGTCAATACTTTCTCTAGTATGAATACGGATGTTAAGTCTTGCTTGCGTGACATAAGTTGTCAAGTGTATAAATTATCGATTTTTAAGACCGAAGTTCAACTTTCAAATCTAGTAAGAGATTTCTTTTTCAAATCAAATGACCAAATATTGTTCTTTCAATGCGATACCAGGGTCATCAATGCAGGATATATTAAGTTGACGAAGTACATTATTGAACAATGCCGAAATGAATTCTTGAAAGAAAATTATCAAACAACAAAACATGTGTGCATAATATTTCATATTCAACGGAACGATCAAACATTATCCAATTTTATTTGTGGCTGGAATAAAATCACTATTGAATCTTTGGAACGACAAAACATCCCATTATTAGACCTTTTGGATAAATCTATTTACGATATAATAAATTCAGAACTTTTTGAGATGATAGTTGGTTCTGATATGCCATTTGAAAAATTGTTAAAGAACGAATTATTATGGTGCCTATCTTGCATAAACTATCAGCTTTCCAGTGAAAGTTATCAAGATCATATAAGGTGGGAGAATCTTTTATTAAATATTATATTCTATTTATTAAAATTTAACATTATTTTTGATAATTATTTTCTAGCATGTTGAGCAAAGAGATTTTAAAGAGTGCAGATTTCATTCAGTGCATTAAAACTAAAACCTTTGATTGGATTTCTACGAATTATAAAGATTGGAACTCCAAAGTGGCTTTTGACAATGATTACTTAAGCCGATTCACGTGTTTTTCGCTAGCCTTACAGGATTATGTAAAGGTGGCCGTTAAACAAACGATTGCCAAAATATTGTATTCACTTGAAAAATTTTCAACAACGACGACATTTTTTACGATTGAAAATGGGAAATCCGAAACGAAAGAAGACTTATCTAATTTATGGAAAATCTTCTTCATGGATCATACAATTGTCAACATTGATAATTTACCCGAACCAAAACCCTCCGGTTATATCATGACGTGTCCAAAGGTCGCTGAACTTGAATTTCCCTTTTCATATTATTTTATGGATCAGATTAATTACTATAAAGTTCAATATGAAGAAGAGTTGGACCTATTAAAGCAAGATTTAGGAAACATTAATGAAGAAACTAGAGAGTTGCACGAAAGCTTGGATGATCATACCAAGGAATTTGTGAATAACTTGTTTACCATGAAACGATATTTTGAGTACTTGCAAGCATATTCAAAATTATATTACAATGATTTTATGAAAATCGTATTATCATCATATACTACTAGAAAATTAAATGTTAAAAAAGAATTGGATTTCATCTTTAGTCATCTAACTAGTGACAAAATAGTTGATACCCCCTTCCTCCTTCATATTTATTGGTGGAAATATGCTGATAACGTTTGGATCCAATTACAATTGGTCGAGACGTTTCCATCTATTTTCACAAAAGTTCAACTAGAAGGATCGATTATTCATGGCAAACTTGATCAATGCCTTTTCATACAAGCAATTAATTTGTTATTACAGAAGATTTATGATGAGGAGGAATATGAGCAAGATCTTGATATTCTTTTGTCTCTGGTTTATAGGATGAATGATACAACTAATTTGACGAACCTTCCTTTACTACTTGTTTGTAATGATTTATTAAAGATCAATTCGATTCCATCAGAGAAAATCAAAGAGATTATCTACTTGGGAAAACCCGTCCATCAGCAAGAATTCATTACAACAGATATCATTAATTTTGTTTTTGATCACATAAAGGAGGAGGATGATTTGATTCATGTTAGATCTTTTATTACGAGATGTCTTGAGATTATTCCTTTAGAATCATATATCCGAACGATCCTTTATACGAAAATATTTTCGCGAGAGCATTTTCAATTTGTTAGTGTAATAATCGAGGAAATACTTGTTACTGAATATCAAGAGGAGGACGAAATATTTTGGACTCTAATCATGGATCCCGAGCAAGCGTTACGGCGCTTTGTCAGGTTGGCAGTTATTGAAGATTATCTCGATATTGAAGAATCTGACACAACCGTAGTAGAAATTTGCTGTGAAACCATTCAATCGATTTTTAAGGGATTTGAATTAGCAAAGTTAAAACCTTATTTCAAGTATTCAGTTGAACCTTTTTTGAAACATGGAGATCTGGCATTGCAACAATTATCCTCGTTGCAACAAATAACTTCTATAGCATTTCTAAAGGAATTCGTACATAAATTTTGGGAGAATTATATGCAAAAAAACAATTCTTTATCTAGATCATTAGTCAAAGAGATCAATGATTGCATGAAAAACAATCAATCATTTATCCAGTCTTTGAAATCCTATTTTTTAATAGGCATAAAGCAATCCGACCAATTAAAAAATGTATTCCCGTGGATTGAAAATGATACCGATAATGAAACAACTTACCTTCCGAGACTCTGGGAATCTACAAAGATAGCGAATTTTGAAGATTTCTATTCTTTTTATGATTGCAACTTTGTTCAAAGTTTAGATAAATATCCTTTCCTATCAGTATACTTTAATAATTATGAGAAATTAAGACTTATCAAGCATCTTTACCCAATGGTTAGATTCATAAAGATTTTAAATACAAACCTTGAGTATGGTTTAACTAGAAAAAAGGCTCTAACCATGACATTTAATAAGTTTATCAAGATCTTCGCAAATGAAGATATCAGGAAGGAAGATTATTTAAAAGAGATATTCAACAAATTTGCTTTAGGTTGGAATTCCGTCATCAGTTATGTTAGTCATTATCGATCCAAAGAATTACCCAAATGGCCAAGTTCACAAAAATCACCACCTTCCAATGAATTCGATGAACCATATATGAGACTTGACCTTCCCGTTATTTATGGTCTAGTTGTACAAAAAGACACGGGAACGTATTTATGTGCGATTTTGGAGTTTTTAATCAAGTTGCACAATGAATTCTTGGATGATGTTTTAACCCTTCCAGTTGGGCAATGCAAGGGTCTTAAATTCCTGGAACGATCATGGAACAATAAAAACAATAATATTACTTCCAAAATCTATCATATTAAATCGACCAAGGTGGCTCAAGCACGAGAAATCAATTTTATAAATTATGAATGGGATGAAAAGATTTTAAAGTATCGTCAACGAAACCTTGAATCGAAGGAATTATGTTTCACGTTTGACTTAGAAAAGATTGAAATGATACTTGTTAGAGACTTGGTCCTTAACAAGGTTTATTTTGAAGAGGAAGATAATCAATTTTATTTGAAAGATTTTTCGTTCAAACATGAAATATTTTATAACTTTCCAAGAATTCTATTTGATATCAAGAATTTATTGCCACAAGAGCAAATTCCAAAGGATAAATTGTCAATAGTTTTACAATTATTTCAACCAACAAGTACTTTGATTTTGGATAATTCATTGGATTCAACCAAACTATCTGAATTATCTTTCCTTTTCGAAATAATCTTTGGTTTCATAAAAGAATTGTCAATTAATAATAATGATATAATCATTATAGATTTCATTAGCCAATGGTTAAAATTGGCGGAATTAACGAAATTATCCAATTTGGATCAAACCTTCATTGACATATTTGAAGAATTTTCTCTGAAGCATATCATAGCATTGTATGAATTAATTGAAGAACAAGTTGCTAATTCAATAATTGATAAGGATAATATTAATTATAAATTTAAAATGCCATTGACACAAAAAATGAAGGAATCGATCGTTAATGGTGTTAGTTTTGATCAAGACAACCAACTCATCCCTGCTAAATCATTTGCTATTGCTTTAAAAAGATTTGTTTATAGATTCTTGTTGATTGATGATACTAATATAGAAAATTCCAATCTGAGCTTGTATTTCTTGGATTTTAGTCTGGGTTTATGGGATAATGACATTAAAGAAGAAGTTGTTAATCAATCTTTCCCAACTTGCCTATTGGCATCTAATACAAATTATACTTATGCCTTCATCGTTAATGAAATCAAGGTATGCAATTTCATATATTTGATACGAGTTCATCTCTTTGTTACCTTGATCTTAAATCTTACTAATTTCTATTAACAGAGAATAAAACCGCAAATTAAACCGCAAATTAAACCGGATAAAAAAAATTATGGAAGAAGGCAACGTTCTACACGATAGTTAAAATTTTTATAAATAAAGAATTTTTTTTTGGTTTTACACGATACATAACATAGATATTAAGAATATTAACATTATAAAGCAAAGGTGACAGATTTTATAAAACTAAATTCATTAATAGACTCCTCTCCCAAATCTTTGCCGAAACCACTAGATTTTCTACCACCAAAAGGTAGATAACTAGGAGATAAATTATAGCAATTTACCCAAGCAGTACCAACTTTAATTTCTTTTATAGCCTTTTCAGCCTTTAAATAATTATTTGTCCAAATTCCAACGGATAGACCAAATTTAGTATTATTTGCCCTATGGATAACTTCTTCAATGGTATCAAAAGGTTTTAATATGGTTAATATAGGACCAAATATTTCTTCTTGAGAGATAAGTTCCGAATCCTCAATATTATAAAATACAGTTGGTTCAATAAAATAACCGACATCCCCAACCCTATTTCCACCGATTAATAACTTTCCATCTTTCAATCCGGATATTGCGTCTTTTAAAACCTTTTGCACTCTTTGAAATTGTATATTATCAATCAAAGGACCAAAATCAACGGTTTCATTTAATGGATTACCTATTTTAGTTTGTTCAATCCTCTTTCGTAATTTATCTATGAATACTTTGTGAATACTTTTTTCTAAGAATAATCTTGACCCAGCACAACAATTTTGTCCCGAATTTAAAAATGAAGCCCAATAAACATCATCTACCACTTTATCTACATCTACATCGGAAAAAACGATCATCGCATTTTTACCTCCCAACTCAAGCGTAATCCTTTTTAAATTACTTGAGGAGGCAGCAGAAAGGATCTTTCTACCAACTTGTTCGGATCCTGTGAAACTACATTTATCAATTCCTTCATGTTCTGTGATACATTTTCCTACCTTTTCATCACCTGGTATCACATTAAGTACACCTGGTGGTAATTCCGTTTTAGAGGAAATGATTTCTGCCAACAACAAGGCAGTCAATGGTGTTTGTGGTGCCGGTTTAAGTATAACCGTATTACCACAAGCTAAGCTAGGTGCTAATTTCCACGATGCTAATGACAAGGGATAATTAAAACTTGTTATCAATCCACATACTCCAACTGGCTCCCTAATCGTGTATGTCTTATATTTATCGTTTACGCAAAAATTATGTCCGGCTAATTTATCTGCGTATCCTGCAAAGAATCTACCGTTGAAAGGGTGAATTAAAGAGAGAGTGAGATGGGGTTCAGGTAAATGATATCATTACCTAAAGCATTCAGCGGATTCGGATACATCAAGTTTAGCATCTTTTATAGGTTTACCAACGTTCAAAGATTCGGTTAAAGCAAGATTTTCCAAATTTTGATCAATGCCGTCAGCTATTTTTAATAAAAGATTTCTTCTATCGGAACCATTCGATGAACTCCATGAATGCAAAGCATCGGTCGCAGCTTGAACGGCCAAATCAACGTCATTTGGCATTCCTTCTACGACCTGAATAAGGGACTCTTCCGTGGCCGGATTAATTAATGTTTTACTAATATGTGAGGATGGAGCTACGAATTTATTATTAATAAATGGACGAGCTATCTTTGAAAGATTTTTAAGTAGATTTGAGTAATTCATTTTACGGAAACAAAAAAAAAAAAAAAATTCCGGTATTTATTAAAATAAAAACACTTTTTTATTCCACGTGACCCTATATAATTTGTCACCCCGTGTCACATTACTTTATCACATCCAAACTACTAAAGGAGAAAAAGACAGGTTTATTCTTAGCTTTGCAAAAAGCTTAATTGATTTTCTAGTCCCAAGATTTTCTTTTGTTCATTTAAAAGAGTCTCCAATTCATCATGTTGCAATTTATCCTGTAAGATAATTTTGTAAGCATTTAATTAATTATCCTTAAGCAAAAATAACAATCTATTGATATTTTTTTCAATAATTTCATTTTAGGCAAGTAAAAGATACAAGAATTTTTCATGTTACCGCTTACACTTTCTTTGGCATTGAATACTAAATTCTATTTCTCTTTTTGTAATAAATAAGATAATCCTTCAACTTAAGTTTTTTGATTTCAATTTTCAAATTATTAAAGTCAAAATCATTATTATTAATATTATTATCAAATACTATATCAACTAATTCATAAAATTGATTAAGAATCAGGATTTTCTCATTTTTTTTTGAACTTTTTATTTGTTAGTCCTTTTCAATATTGTTTTCAGAGGTAGTGAATAATAATGATAATTATTTTTTAAATGAGCTTTAGTAATTTAACTTGAAATTTATAATAAAAGTGATATAATTTAAGCTTATTTAAAATCATTCAAAATCATTTGCTAATATTAATAGATAAATTTTTTTATTTATTGATCTTTTTCTGCAATATTTTCCTTCAAATTTTTATTTACTGATTTTTTTTCACAAATAATTGCTTTCAAATTTTTTATCTTTTAATTCTTTTACTCATTAAAATAATATTATTTTTAATCATTACACTTCTATTTATATAAATCTTTATAATTTTAGATTGTAAAAAATATATTTCAATATTATTCAATTTTATATTATAAATGATAAACAGTCAGGTGACATGTCCGATGATCTGCATTTCAAAATTAATCAATTATAAGATCGACAACTTGCATTATCTTGCATTATCATAGTAAAAATACCAAAATCATATAGATAAGCATAAAATATACTATTGTACTACAGTTAATCAAATGGGTCTAATTATAGTTCGGAAATAACTACTTTTATTTCCATTTTTACTTTTTCCATAACCGCTTTCTTTTACGAGAATCTCTTGAACTAACATTGGCAAAATTTGAATGAAATTGGTTAATGGAGTGTGCTAATTCCTCTTTTAACTTTAACTTTGCGGAAAGAGACGTTCAATTATTAAATGAATCAAAATTCCGTAACTCTGAAGAAAATGAAGACTTCTCTAACAATGATTCTGACAATGATTCTGACGCAAGCTAGGAATCTTTTGATAAACAAGCATTTAATGAGTTATCTGAACTAGAACAATTTGTATTTAACTAAGGGAATATATTAAAGCACAAACAGAGCTTGAACAAGAAATTATAGTTAGTGACGAAAATGATGATTATTATCAAGATGATATTGAGGAAACTTTATTTTCATCACCACCACCACCATCATCATCACCCCCTCCTCCATTAATTTCAACAGAAATTCCACCTCCGCCAATACCAACAGAAATTCCACCTCCATCAACACCAACAGAAACTCCACCTCCAACACCTATTGAGGAACGAAGCAAACCAATTTGTGAAACAACATCAACAACTTTATTATCATCATGTGTCCTTGTTGATTTAGTAGATAGAAAATTACAAACTTGTGGTAGAACAGAAAATATTAAAAATATTTGTCAATTAGTTAGCGTTTAGCAAATTGATACAAATGCGGCAATAGAATTTGAAGCAGATCAATTAGCATTAGGAGTATGTATGCAACATTTTAACTATGATCAGAAGAATCATAGTTCTAAAGCAAAACAAATGCGAAAAATTCAGCAAAGTGAAGTTAGACGACGTTGATGTTTGTTTTGTTGTAAAAACTTTTATTTCTTTGGTTGTGAAATCAGATGTAAGGAACATTCATGGAATGTTTTTGGAAGAAACATTCAAATACCTTGTATCGGACTCTTTACCTGTAATTCATTGCATGAATATCAAGGAATTGCTAAACGAAACTTTGAAAAAGTTAGAATGATGCGATATATTTGCTATGAATGTTATGAATCTAAGGGTGGGCATTTACATCGTCAACCTGGACCTGGAAAATGAATTGTTACATGTATAGAAAAAAATTGGCATATTAATGATTCGACAAAGAGTTTGGAATTATTAGTCCAATGGCTTCAATATGTTGTACAAACCGAATCTAAGGATCAAAAAAAGAAAATTTTAGCGTGCATGTTAGTTTTAGCAATCAATTTTTTATATATTCCTTCAGAAACATTCCCTTTAAAATATACATACCATAATCCAAGGAATAATTATAATAATAATAACGTCTTTGAATCTATAATTCTGAATTCTACAAGGACATTTTCCTTTTTATCCCAAATACCTAGTTTTTTTTTTGGTGATGTTAATGCATTTAAATCAGATAAAAAAATTTACTAAATTGGAATCAGAATCGGAGTGAGATAATATTAAATGGAAGGAAGTTGGTGTCAAATTAGCGCAAAAAGTTTGGAATTCTCAAAAGGCATTATCAGCAAAAAAATCGGAAATACAACTGCCAAGCTCCCTTTCAAATTATTACGCAACTTTTCCGACATTTTTAACTAGCTTTTTTGATGGACTATTAAGTGAAATTTTTAAAAGAAAATTAGTTATCTCAAATATTAAACGAAAACAACGTCAAAAATCTACAAGTGTTCTTAATTATGAACATATAACTAAAATTACCACCTTTTTTGTTTCGATTATCATCAGTATAACATTCCCTTCTTTTGGTGTTTAGTTTAATCAAGTAATGGCTAGTTTATCTCGGAAACCTAGACTATTTTCATCATTCTGAAAACTTTTATCGAATCTTAATATTACTAGTCATATTGAACGTCATGAAAAACAAGTAGAAAAACAACGGATGATTGAAGTTAACCTGACAAAAAGATTGTTGAAAGGTCCTAATATATGGAATCTAGCAGTTATTGATAATATTGATTTCAAAGAAAAAACTTTTCAATATGGTAATATTTTCGATACCACCTGTAATAGTTCTCATACAACTCTTAGAATGGCATTTCAAATTAAAATGCCAATTTCTTTGAATGAAAATCCTAGTGATGAAAAAACTATTACTTCTTCTACTAGACTTTTTGGTATGAATAATGTAACAAAGGATATGTTAGACATGTTTGATGAAATTATTGACAATCTTCTCGATTTTCATACAAATGAAAATAGACAATTCCTTTATAATAAGAATTTCAATATGTCAACTATTCATAATAGAATTTTAGAAAAAGTAGAACATGGATATTCTGGAGATTCACCGAATATAGTAATATTAGATGCAAGAGGGATTCCAAACTCAGATGAAGGCATATTTCAATCTACAAAAATGTATGTAGATGATTTCAATTTACATACACAAGAATATTTAGATGTAGTGGCGGATGAGGCAATTTTTAGAAAATTTATTAAGCAATGTAAGCAATGGCCATATTTACGTCCAATTCTTGGACAATGGCATACTTCAAAGGACATGTGCAGCGTATTGATTGTCTTATTTTCAAGTTATGGAATTTTTGATCTGGCTAAAGAATTGGGTGTAAAATTTTTAGATAAACTGGACAAAGTAGTTGATTATTGTTCAATAGTACGCGTTTTAGAATTAATCTGGAGTGCTATTATTATTGCTATCCGAATTTATCTAAAAAGCAATAATTTACATAAATGTAATGTGATGAATTCAGATAGTAGTGCAAATATTGTTTTAAAAATATGGTATCTTTATTATCAATGGGCATCAATTTTTAAAGTTCATCGTGTTGGAATTCGGGTTGGTAATTATCAATTACAAAAGAATGCTTTAGCTTGCTTTTCAGGATTATTTGCATCGGCTGGCAAATCTAATTATTCTACTTCAGTAGCTCTTTTTCTTGGTTTACTTGCTCAATATCTAAAATTAGAAGAAAAGCTTCAATTTGTCACGTCAGTTAAAATAGATAATGATAAAAAACGAAAAGGACATTATTTTGCTTATGATGAAGCTCTTGAAACATTTGGAGTTAAATTTATTAAACAAAATATA